ATTCATCCATAAAATATTTGTTCAGCACCCACTATGTTCAGTATGCTGTAGCAGCTAAGAGCTCAGGCTCTGGAGCCAGGATGCCTTAGAAACAAGATAGTATAATGTAATATAATAGTATAATATATGCTATTATTATCATCTATCAGCTACTCTTCTGGACTCGAGGGATATAGCTGAGAACAAGACAGACTAAATCTCTGCTCTTATGGAATTTTCCGTTCTATTTAGAGGTAAGGGAGTACAGGCCAACTAAAAACCAACAAGAAAATGACAGACAAGTGCTAAAAAGAAAATAAAAGGATGATATGATGAGAGTGACGTGGGAAAAAGAGAGGAATGAGAAAGAGAAGGCCTTTCTGAGGAGGTGACATTCATGCTGGAACTTGAATGTGAGGTAGGGATGAACCCCGAGAAGATATAAGGGCAGAGAGTTCCAGGTAAAATGTGAACAGACACAATGATCCTAAGACAGGAACAGGTTTGGTGTGTCCAAGAAAAAGAAAGAACCCACATTTATCTGACGTCACAGCCCATGATCTTTTCACTATACCTCATTGCCTTTCTGATGCAAGTCATATAAATAAAGCCACGGGGAAATAGGAAGCCCTAAAATTGGTGTGGCAGATACTAAGTTGGCTCACCCAACACGTTCTAACCTCACTCTGCCCAGAAAGCTAAAAACTGCATTCTTAGACTCCTTGTAGCTAGATCGAAAAAATTTTTTAAGGTCTTTTCTTTTTTCTCCCCAAAGCCCCAGTGCATAGTTGTATATCCTAGTTGTGGGTCCTTCTAGTTCTTCTACATGAGCTGCTGCCACAGCATGGCAACTGACAGATGGGTGGTGTGGTTCCGAGACTGGGAAGCAAACCCAGGCCACTGAAGTGGTGAGAATGCTGAACGTTAACCACTAGGCCATCAGGCCTGGCTCTCGATTGAAACTTGTGACATAGTTTCTGCCAACTTGTGAGACACAGATGCAAGATGGCGGCTGAGCCCAGAGAGAGGGAGTCGATTCTCTGCTCAGCTGGGCAGTAGAAGCCCTCGGTTCTTCCGGGGCACACATTAACAGCTCCATCTTGTGGGAGGGTATCTTTTTCTGGCTGCATTGTTTCTGACCGAGTAGCATTCAAGCCTGGTTCTCTGGTCTTCCCAAAGTTTTGTAAGCTCTTTAGTTCCCTTCAAGTGTTTATTTCTGCTTAAACCAGCCAGAGTGAATTCTGTTGTCTGCAACAAAGAACCTCAATTTACATAATTCCCTACTAATCCTGAAATCTCATCAGCCACTCAGCCTCTTCCCCCATCCCCCCGCCCTGCTCTGTACCATTCTTCTTTGGTAGATCTGCCTGTGTCTAAGAACAGGTGTATCAACCCCACTCCAGAACTGCCTCTCTTCAGCTGAGTCATCCAAGATGATTTGTCAAGACTTAAGATGAAAACAATCACCACAAGATGATATAAAAACAGGTAGAGAATAATAATGACTAGGAAAATAATAATAACGATAACACAGTAGTTATTCGTTTAACGAGTGCTTACTAGATGCTAGGGAATAAAGTAAGAGAATTACATGCATTGCATAATTTTATCCTCAAGGTCCTATGAAGCATGTATCGTTATCATGCACTTTTAAAGATGAGAGAACTGAGACCCAGAGAGGTCAAGTGACTTTCCCAAAGGCACACAGCTAGTAAATGGTGGAGGCAGGATTTCAACCTCTCGTCTAACTCTAGAGCCATACACTTAAAACCATGGGCTTGCTGTGTGCTGGACACTGAAACAAATGTTATCTTATTTAATCTGCTCAATGGTTATGTGAGGTGGATACTATTTTTCCAACATAATAGATAAGGAATTGAGTCTCAGAAAGACCAGGTAATCTGCTCAAGGTTCCAGGGCTCTTAGTGAAAGAGCCACAATCTGAACCAACATCTTCTGCCCCGAGGTCTAGGGTTCTTTCTGCTAAACCACACCTTTTCTTCCAGTTGAACTCACTAGTCTTAGGATTGAATTCAGCTGCATATTAGAGAGCCAGAAATAACAGTAGCTTAAGCAAACATGGGTGATAAAAAAGGATCAGAAGTAGGCAGTCTAGGCTAGTATGGAGGCTCTATAAAGGCAGGAACCCAAGTTCCTTCAGGCTTTCCATCCCACCAACCTAAAGGTGTAGCCTCTATTCTCGTGGTCTAAGACAGCTGCTGGAGCGCCAACTCTCATAATCATGTTCCAAGCAGTAGGGTAGAGGAAGGAAGGTAGAAAAAGAAAGACCAAATGACGCAATCTAGCTATCTGTTTTTTTTTTAGGACGATTAGCCCTGAGCTAACATCTACTGCCAATCCTCCTCTTTTTACTGAGGAAGACTGGCCCTGACTAACATCCGTGCCCATCTTCCTGTACTTTCTATGTGGGATGCCTGCCACAGCACGGCGTGCCAAGCGGTGCCATGTCCGCACCTGGGATCCGAACCTGTGAACCCCGGGCCGCCGAAGCGGAACGTGCGCACTTAACCGCTGAGCCACCAGGCCTCCCCGGATCTAGCTATCTTTAAAGGTTCCCCAGAAGCTGCTACATTTTACTTCTGCTTACATCTTGCTGGCCAGAACTAAATCACATGGTCATAGCTAATTCCAAAGGAGGCTGGGAAAATAGACCTTTCTTGAGGACAGCCACGTTCCAGCTAAAAATGATGCATCCTTTACTAAGGCAGAAGGAAAGTGGATATTGGAAGAGGCAGATAGTAAGCGCTGCCCATCCCCTTTTGGTGTGAATCTTTAAAGGCTACTGTAGCTGTTAGGGTCCTAGCAGAAACAGATGGCACACTCAGAAGAATTTAAATGAAAATAAATTAATGGAGAGATTATTTTCAAAGGTTTGGGAAAGATTAAGGGAACTGTGAAGGGACGGTGAGATATCCAGAAGCTAGAAACAGAAGGAAGTTGCTACCACCCCTAGACCCAAAGGGAGAGCGGCCAGAGAGTAAAGACCCCAGCCCCCTATCCTCCCCTCCTCCTCTCTTCTGCAGGCAGCTCCCTGGGTCTATCCTGAGGGCGTGGGGGCCTGGGCGATGCAGCCCTAGCGACCAGACTTCTGGGGGCCTAGAGCAGGTAGGGGAGGGCAGAGGATGCTGTGCATCAAATGGGGACTATTCTGCATGGTCACCTCTGCAGGTGCCACCAAGCCCTATGTCTTTCCATGTACCGGGGCAAGGTGGCTGGCCCTTATGATGAGAAGAACTGCGGCAGTTCGAGTTCAAGGAGAGATGGAAGCTTCCAGCAAGGGTACAGGAGGGGGGCGTCCCCAGCTGTGGCTTGGAGATGTTGGAGGAAGGCTCTGTCAACTCAAGACTCAGTGCAGAAACGACACCACCACCTGCCTTCTCTTTGGCCAAAGAGGGCAAGGAAAGTTACCTGCTTTTTCTCTTTACTCTGTTTTACAGCTGCTGAGCGAGCTGCAAACAGTGGGCAAGAGTGAGTGGTTGGGAGGCTGCTTGGAACACAAATGCCCGTGTGCATGCTTCTAAACCTCCCCATGCAGACAGGGGAACCGGAATGCCTATGTGCTCGCTTCTAAACATCCCCATGCAGGCTGAGAAGAGCAGGAAACCTGGGAAGCAAGAGAGATTCGTCTTCTCACAGTTTTCTCTCCTCTTTCTGATTCTGGATGTAAATTGCGTATTGTCTTATATTGTCTGCCATTGTTTCAAATGTATGTTTTCTCCCTTAGACTTTTGCAGGATCGGTGTCCCACTTTACCTGTGTCCTCCAACACCTAGCACCGAGGCAGTGTAGTACACAGTACCACAGTCCAGAAGACTTGGGGTCAAGAGCCTGCTTGGAAAGAGCACATACGGTCTGATTCCATTTGTAGGAAATATCCTGAATAGGCCGCTCTATAGAGACACAAGGGAGACTAGAGGCTGCCAGGGGCTGGGAGGGTAGGGGACGGGGAATGACGGCTAAAGGGGATGGGGTGCTTAGAGGAGTGATGAAAAGCTTCTAAAATTGATCATGGTGCTGGTTGCACAACTCAATGTACTAAAAACCACTGAATTTTACACTTTAAAAGGTGAGCTGTATGGGATGCGAATTATATCTCAACAAATCTGTAACAGAAAAAAAGATTCTCCTTGGCATTTATTTGCAGCTTCAGCATCTATAAAATGGCCATAGTAACATCAACTGCACAGAGCTGCTTCAAGGATTAAATGACATACTGTGTGGGAGGCAGTTAGCACTGTGCCTTGGTCATAGTGAGTGCTAAAAAAAGTTCACTCTCTTGGTATAATATGCTCTTTAAATGTTTGCCAGCGGATTCCTACATTTTTAAGTCAAAGGGGAATTAGTATAAAGATGAATGTGAAAGCAGAAAGGTTGCTTAGAAATCAGTCTAGGTCTCGCCTCTCATTTTGCAAATGAGAAATTAGTGATAAACCCAGAAAACTACCACTGATAAGAAAGGTTCAAAGGAGGTTATGAAAGAGTGAGTGAACTCGAGATCTTAGAAAGATAACCAGGGCCGGCCTGGTGACACAGCGGTTAAGTCTGCACGTTCCGCTTCGGTGGCCCAGGGTTCCCAGTTTGGATCCTGGGTGTGGACATGGCACCACTTGGTAAGCCATGCTGTGGCAGGCGTCCCACCTATAAAGTAGAGGAATATGGACACGGATGTTAGCTTAGGGCCAGTCTTCCTCAGAAAAAGAAAAGGATTGGCGGCAGATGTTAGCTAGGGGCTAATCCCCCCCCCCCCCAAAAAAAAACTAAGAAAGGTAACCATTTGCCACATTACTTAATTATATGCACCCTACTGAGGCAGCAGCACCCAACCTGGTTTGGCCCTTTGCAGGAAGAGCAGGTGGAAAGAGCAATTCCATAGCTCATTTTCATGGTAGAGAACTGGGTATGTGCTTACTAGAGTCTAAAACAGAACTTCATCCAGTTTATAATCTTAAAAATTCTATTAAAATTCCCAAAGTAGATTTTTTAAAGCAATCTAAATTATTTTCCTTAATCTTAGAAATAATAAAAATATTAAATAACTGCTCCAAACTATTTACATGAGGGTTTTTTTTTGAACTACATCTTTCTCTTTGTGCCTACAAACACACCCACACGTAATTCTGATACACAATTTTTTACAACTTATCTCTGATCAACACACAACTTATAGTCAATGGCTTATTCTAGTTTAATTGACAGCATCATTTTCTTTCTTAGCTTTACATAAAATACTGGTGCCTCTTAAAATGGATGACAAATTAAAGCATGCTACATGTACATACATATACTTAAAAGATGAACTAGAAATTTGTGCTGGTTGAATGTTCAGGTATACTAAAGTGGTGATAACTGATCCAAGTGTTAGAAAAACCAGAGTTCAAGCACTTCTCCTGGGGCACCGTCTTCTTTATGTGAATAGAATGTGCATCCTCGAACCTGGGAGGAGTTAATAGGCACTCCGGCCTGATTGATAGTTTTGCTAATATAATTCTGGAAAAATGATTAATCAACACAGCTATGCTTGGATATACCTGGATCCTTTTAGGACAAGAAACCATGAACATTTATTAGTTGCTGCATATTCTAGTATTCCACCCTTGGAATGCTCAATGTTTGTGCTGGGCTTCTGTAGGCAATGCTTCAGCTGTTAGGCGATGCTGCAGAAGCCAGCGGGTTGGCTGAGGCCTCCCACCTGAATCCGCAAAGCCTTTCTCTAATAGCTGTGCTTAGTTTAGGGGTGAAGGGATTTCTGCAGCTGAGAGGCTGAGTACTTGGCGTGCTTTGAAGGTCCCTAATGGATGTGCCGAAGGGTCTGACTGGCAAACTCCTCACAAAACAGCAATTGTCTAGATGCTGCTGAAGATAATTAATTCGGGCTTTGGAAAGCTTCCTTCTTGGTGCATTCAATTTAAAGGCCTCCTTCTCTCAGCGTGTGCCCGCAAACACAATTCCTGCAATGACAAGAGAGGATAATAAAAGCTGAAAGTATTGCCAGTACTGGCCTTTCGAACTCGCTCGGAGTTTCCATGGAAGTGGGCACCGGGGTGGACGGATTTGCTTTCTTCTCTGCTTGAGCAATGAGGCTTTCAGCATTTGCTGGTTGGTTTGGAGTGTTTAGAACAGTGTCCCCAGACATGTCTCCATCCAGAGCACGTGGGGAGCCAGAGACACTCGGGGAGACTGGCACATGGCTTTGCCCATGAGCCTCTTCTGCCAAACCAACCAAGCAGAAATACAAAACACGAAAGCCAGCCAGCCAGAAAAGATCTGTTCAGGATCATCCTGGAGTTTTGATTCCTAAGGTGGAAAAGAGTGCAGAATGGAGTGTCCCCTGAAAGCTTGATTTCAGGGTGGGCAGCTGAAGCTGTCGGCAGAGGTGTTCTGTCCAGCTGGCATGAGCATGTCCAGAAGGCTCTTTCCATTCACTCATTCACTAAGTATGTATTGACACCTCCTGTGTGTACACATTCTCCCAGGCGCTGAGGATATAGAAATAGCCAATAAAACAGACAAAATCTCTATCCACGTGAGTCCTCCCTTCTAGAGGATGGAGACAAGAAGCAAACAGGTGAACAGATACATCCAGTAGTGATAAGTGATAAATACTGTGAAAAAAATAAGGCAGGTTTGGGGCCGGCGCAGTGGCGTAGCGGTTAAGTTTGCACACTCCGCTTCAGTGGCCCAGGGTTTGCTGGTTCAGATCCCATGCATGCACATGGCATGGCTCACCAAACCATGCTTTGGCAGGTGTCCCACATATAAAAAATAGAGGAAGATGGGCACAGATGTTAGCTCAGGGCCAATCTTCTTAAAAAAAAAAAAAAGGCAGATTAAGGGAGACGGGGTGCCCAGGTGAGGGCAGCTTATTGGTGTTTTATGCAGAGGGGCCCGTGTAGTCCTCTCTGATAGGGCGAGGTTGAGTAGTGTAGAGAGCTGAAGGACATTAGGGAGTAAGTGGTGGAGTGTGTCTGGTGGAGAGGAGAGCAAGTGCAGGCGCCCTCCTGTGGTAGCCTGCTCAGCATTGCAAGGACTGGAATGGAGGCCTAATGGCTGGAGCAGATGGAGCTGAGGAGAGTGGTGGGAGGCGAGGGCTACAGATCATAGTGGGCTCTTCAGGCTTTGGAAGGACTCGACTTTCCTCTGAGATGAGAGGGTTTGGAGGAGTTTGAGCAGAGGGGTGATGTGATCTGAGTCCTGTTTTCACAAGAGAACTTGGGCTGCTGTGTGAAGAGCGCACCATGGCAGGAGCCAGGGTGGGAACAGGGAGACCGGCTGAGAGTCTGCTGCAATGGTCCAGGAGAAGAGGAGATGGCATGGACCGGGATGGGCCAGGAGAAGAGATGGTGTGGACCAGGATGGTCAGGGTGCAGATCGCAGGGGTGCTTTCATTCTAGGTGTATTTTGAATGTAGAACTGACAGGATTGGATGAGGGATGAGCTGATGGATCTGGTACCAGAAGCACGAGAAAGAGAGGAGTGAAGGGCAACCCTGAGTCTTTAGGTCTGCACAACCAGAAGAATGGAGTCATCATACATTGAACCAGGGGCACCGGAGGCAAAGCCAATTTTTCAAGTAAGATCCTGTTTTGGACTTGCTAAGTCTGAGACGTGCATTAGATATCCAAGTGGAGATGCTGAGCAGGCAGCTGTGAGTCAGTCACAAGAAAGTAGGATCCCAATCTGGTTTGCAAATGTTTGGGTGAGGTTTGTAACTAAACAAAGGGTCCTATCCTCTCTACCAAATACACCAATCCAAACCTCTCCTGACACCCTCCCTCCCCACTCCACAGAAGCAATGACTGTAGGGGGAGTTGTCTCCTCCCTGAAGAGCTACCACCTTACCACCTGTGTACTTTCCATCTGTTATCATCCATTATGATATTGGGTAGTCAAGAGAATAGTGGCTTTAAACTGTAATTGGTACTTAAATAATCTTGGCTTTGCTGTGTGCTGGCTGTGTGACTTTGGGCAAGTCTCTTAACCTCTCTGAGCCTCAGTTTCCTGTTGTCCACATATCTCACAGGCTTGTTTTGACAATTGAATGGGGTTAATGTGTAAAGAGGCTACCCCTGCATCTGGCAAATAAGAGGTAATTATAATAGTAAATAATATATGTCAGACTCTATTTTATACATCTTTTATATATTTGCTTAATTCTCACAACAACCCCATGAGGCAGATACTGTTATTATTTCCATTTTACAGATAAGGTTAAATAACTTGGCCAGCTTGCAACTCAAGCAGCCCAGCTGTAGGAATTATTCATTTAACCACTATGCTATACTGCTTCTTGAGAATATTCTAGAAATTTTCTTCTCTCTCATTTCCAAGTGTTTTTATTATACGGTTTCAGTTTTCAATTCACAGTTTTGTTTTTTCCTTGTTATTAAATTTTATTCATTATCTGACCCTAAGCCAACTGTTATCCCCTTTATACTAAAATAGGCAGTTTAATGCAATGGCAAGGAAAGAAAAATTCAAATTTTCTGAAACACAAGAGATAAGGCCTATTGCCAGCCTTCTCTGTGGGAAGCCAGGTCAGGGTGACTGGGCCCACGGAGGAAGCTGGAGACATGACTTTCTGCTTGAATAGACAGGAACTGACCAAAAAGAAAAATTCTTTTTTTTGGAAAGCCATGAAAATCTGAACAAAGAGGGAGGGATTTGCATTTTAGAATGTTAGGAGAAATGGAAGTCTGTTTGTCCCCTGCATGTCTGCATATGTATACATATACGTGAAAGTGTATGCATGCTTGTGTTTGAAGGTGTGTGGGTGTATGTGAATGAATGTGTGTACAGTGTGCGAGGGTGTGTGCATTTGGAATACGTAATACTTGTTCGCTACTAAAGGAGTTGGCCTGGTGAGAGTTTGGCACCAAATGATGGGCTGGGATTAATTTTCTGGTTCATGCGTCTTCGAATCATTGGGCTGGTGACATTGAGAAGGGCAAATAGTCTCCAAGGAGAAAATAAAGTCATGTTCCCCATGAAATAGGTCTGTCATATTTAGCAGATGAAAATACAGGACTCCCCATTAAATTCGAATTTCAGATAAGCAATGAATAATTTTTTAGTATAAATATGTTCCATGCAATATTTGGGACATCTTTTGCCAAAAAATTATTTATCTGAAATTCAAACCTAACTGGGCGTGCTGTATTTTATCTGTCTGACAACCTTCCCATGAAAGAGAATGAGTTTAAATATTTGCTGATTTTTAGAAATCTTTAAAATCCACAAACCACTTTTGGACTAGCAAAGATCTTTGGTTCTGGCTAAAGAGTCAACTCATTCTTTTCTTTCTAAGGAAGTCCCTTAACGACTTGGCACCCCCATCTGTGAAATGGGGAACTAGTCTGATGAGCACTCTATTCTCTCCCCAGGGGAAAACCCCACAGAATTTCACATCCTTATCTTCATGTATCATGGCCTGGGGCTCCTCACAGATCTTCATTCTCCACTTCAATAAAAATCCAATTAAGAATTTTGAAAAAGGATTCTTATGACATGCCTTAATAGCCAGCCAGTATCCTGCGGTGTTCAATTTCTTCTCTCTTTTCCCTCTCCCTACTTGCATAGTGACAGAATTCTTCCGTGTAGGCGAGTAGCAAACTCTGGGAAGTCTCTGTAAGGAAAGCACACTGATGGGAAGGCAGAGAGGAAATCTCCGTTGACTCCTGGGAAGCTCAAAGCAGGAACAGGTGAGGCCCAGGATGCAGAGGGCCTGTGATGGTGTGATGGGAGGGGAGCCCTTGGTGCCCAGGCTGGGCTTTGGACCACACGGGACTTCTTCCAACGGGAACAAAGTAGCATGTGGGGGTAAGGCTACCTCGTCTCTCAGCTAACAGTCCCTGAGTTCACACTGTGTCTGTCACTCTTGTGTCTGAACTAGAACCTCTTGGACCTCCGCTTTTCGCATCTGTAAAATGGCTAAATACGAGTGCCTACATCACAGAGTTATTATAAGGACTAAATGACAACATTAATAAAACCGTGTCTGGCTCCCAGGAAGCACTTAATAATTGTTGTCATTAATACTATTATTATTATCTGGGACTACTATTTTTCCAAATAAGTTCAGTTATAATTTTTATTAATAATCTTTTCTGATTGTAGATGTAATGCACATTCACAGAACAATATGTAAAAATATAGAAAAACCACAGGAAAAGAAAGTAAATCAGAAATACCCCACAAAGCTATCTCTGGTCTTTTTTTCCCCTCTGTGTGTGTACCAGTGGTTCTCAGTGCTGACAGTGCATCCGAACCACCTGGGAAGCTTTTAAAATACAGACACCTGGGCCCCAAACCAGATCTAATAAATCAGAACCTCTAGGGGTAGGGGTATGGAGTTGTATTTTTAAGAAAACATTCCAGAACATTCTATTGCAAAGTCAGTCTTAAGAATCCTGGCAGTCACTTATACATGTGCCCTCTCTCTCTCTCTCATATATAGTTTTCAAACATTGGACAATATTGTACATTCGGTTTTGTAACCTGCTGCTGTCAAGTTGCTTTCTCTCTCATCATCATTCATCCACAATATCTTATTTTTTTCTTAAGGCTTCACTTGTGGTTTCTAGTAAGGCCCAATCCACTGCTTTTCATTCAGCGGTCCTCTCACAAAATGAATCCATTTAAAAATGTCATCCGTCCCGTCTTCTCTTGCCCTCCAGTCCACCACAGTTGATGAAGAGAGACCCATTCACCGTTATCCTTTCTCCCCCTCTCTTGGATTTCAGCGCCCTAACTGATGGCCTTGAGTGGCTCCAGCCTTTCAGTTGTCACTCTGTGGCTTTGTGGCTAAGGCCCGAGATCACGCTGGCGGGCATGCCAGCGCAGGTTTGCACATTTTCTTCCCTAAAATATTAATTTGACCTGTAACGCTCTTTTTCATTTAGCGCTCAGCCGACCATGGTGGTGGTGATTTCAGTTCGAAACAACCTCCAAG